ATTTATATTTAATAACATACCATTATATTCTATTTCATTAAATACATTTTTGAATATCACCAATAATACTAACTTTGTTATTATAAAATTGTATTCCATATCCTTTACTATTAATAATTGTTATCATCAAATCATCTTCAATATTATTATGCCCAAATACAATATAAATATCACTTTCTCTTTTACTTACAAGTGGAATATATTCTTTCATTCCATTTCTTCTTATAATGAATAAAGCAGATTTATTACAAACAAAGGTTTGGTTTCTAAGTATTTTAACAGAATGAAAGAATATACCAAAAACATTTCCATACTCAGTAACACAAAATACACCAAAATCTTTCTGTCCAAAAAGTTGTTTGTATATATTTGTTGATGAATTTAGTAATTCACAATATTCGATATCAGGAGATATTATACAATAATCACGAAGAGTACCTAAGAATAATTTACGTACTTTACCACGTAGTATATCAATAAATCTTTCATTTGGACTTGTAACAACAATAACATCTTTTCTTTTTTTAGTTCCATCTGTCATTCCATTAATCCTTCCATTATATTCAATAACCAATCCATTTAACAATTTAACAAGGTTTAAATATTCTTCTTTTATTTGTAAGACCTCACTCTGAGAAATATCTTCTGGTGGATAGCAAAGTTCTTGAAGTTTTTTATCGATATCATTTTGAACCTCACTTATTTTAGCTTGAATTTCATCTACACTTTTAGTACTTTTTTCAATATAAGTATCAGGTATATCTATTAGTTTTTCATCAGTTTGTTCTGGTTCTTGTTTTGGGTTAATGAAGAAACTATCACTAAATTCTGAGGATGTTACCATTGTTAATGGTTTACAAGTGAACTATGAAGATCTTTTATAATGAAGAATGATGTTACCCCAGTTTAGAAATGATGCTTTTTAAATTTTTGATTAATTTTGATTGGTGGAAATTGTTACCTTATTTAATTTTATTGAAAAAAAAAAATAAAATAAATGATGGAAAATATAAATTACTTCTGATTACGTTTTCATCATGTTGGAAGTGAGTAAACCAATTTCTTCAACATATTTTATTTCTTTTGAATCATTTTTTTTCAAACATTCTCAAATTTAATAGTTCATCATTTAATTTGTTATTTGAATTTTATTTTGAATTAAATGATTATTAAAACTCTTCATTGTTTATAATGTTATTTTATGACAAATACATCATTAACAATACACTATGGTTCATCTCTTTTATCATTAATACTATTTAAATAATCCATTTTTCTTAATAACATACCATGTATTCAGCACTAATTCAGCATTAATAAAGGTCCTATGTGGTGATGTTTTTGACATGCATCTTCAAATCATAATAAAAGATATAAAGAAAAAGAAATAGAAATAAAAAAGAAATAAAGAATAAAAAGAGAATTATAAAACAAATATAAAGAATGATATATCAAACAATAAGATAGAAGAGAATAATATCAAAAAGAATAAATAAGAAAAGAATAATAATATAAATGATAATCAATTATAATTTGTTTCTTCCTCAAAATATATTGTATTTCATTAACTGTCATTTGTCAAAACAATTTCTTGGTATTGTTTCATTCCTCTTTAATTCTTCTTCACATCCACATTCATAAAAACAAGATTTTCCAAATGATATAATTGATGATGGTATATTAATTGATGTTAAGGATGTACATTCATTAAAACAATAATTTCCAATTGATGTAATTGATGATGGTATATTAATTGATTTTAATGATGAACAATATTCAAAACATCTATTTCCTATTTCATTAATTGATGATGGTATAGTAATTGTTGTTAATGATGAATATCCAATAAAACAATAATCATCTAATTTAGTAATTGTTGTCGGAATAATAAATTCATTAATATCTTTCTTTTCAATATTCTTTCCATTGATTATTTCTAGATCATATGGTATTTTAATACTAACTAACACTGGTTCATTCATAAATATTCTTTCTTGACTTACAAATTGTAGATTATCTATATTCATTGATGTTAATGATCTACATCCTTCAAAACAATCAAATCCTATTTTACTAACAGATGATGGTATATTAATTGATTTTAATGAATAACATTCATAAAAACAATAATTTCCTATTTTACTAATTGATGATGGTATAGTAATTGATGTTAATGAATAACATAAATAAAAACAATTATCTCCTATTTCACTAATTGATGATGGTATATCAATTGCTTTTAATGAATGACATCCATAAAAACAATTATCTCCTATTTCACTAATTGATGATGGTATAGTAATTGATGTTAATGAATAACATAAATAAAAACAATTATCTCCTATTTCACTAATTGATGTTGGTATATCAATTGCTTTTAATGATGAACAGTTTTTAAAACAATACCTTCCTAATTTACTAATTGTTGTTGGTATATTAATTGATGTTAATGATGCACATCCTTCAAAACAATTCCATCCTATTTTAGTAATTGTTGTTGGTATATTAATTGATGTTAATCTATCACAACCTTTAAAGCATTGATATCCAAGTGATTTAACTTCTGATGGTATTTTATTTCCATAGTTATATATTTCATATTCATTTGTATATTCTATATTTTTATATATATCCAATTCTTCTTTTTCTTTTAAATATTTTGAATAATCTACTAAATACCAGACCACTTTTTTAAATATTTTTCCATCTTTAAATATTTTATCATTTATATCATAAATATGAAATGTTTCAATATTAGGAAATAATTTTCTTGAATAATGATTTAAAGGAATTGGATTAAAATGAAATCGTTCCATGTTTCCTTGAAATCTTTTGATTCCAAATTCTAAATTAATAAAATCTTTAATATCATTAAAATACATTGATACTATCATTATTTCATTATATCCTAATTTCATTATTGATTTATTATTTATTAATTGTTTTTATAGTTCTTATATTTTTATGTTCTAATTTCTTCTTTTTTATTATTTTATCATCATTCTATTTTTATTAATTGATGTTTATTATGAAAAACATTAATTAATAACAAATAAAATATGAATAAAATGAATGATATAATGAATGATAAACAATTATGAATTCATTTATTCTATTATCTTTTATTTTTATTCATTCTTAATTTATTCTTTTCTTTCTTTATTTTTATTATTATTTTATATTTAAATTCATTATTTAATTATGAAATAATATAAATAAATAATATAATGAATAAAACATAAATAAATGAATGTATTAATTGATAAATTAAATTAAATAATAAAATAATTATATAACATTTCAATATTTAATAAAATATGATAAAATAAATGATAAATGATAAATATAATATTCAAATCATAAATTAACAATGAATAAAATAATATATCAAATAATGAAGAATGATAAATAAATGAAATAATAAAATATAAAATTATTTAAATCATAATTTCATTCATTTATATTAATTTAAATCATTTCAATAAATTATAATCAAATAATTATACTACAATAATAATATAAAATGTAAATATAAATAGAATAAGTTAATAAATAATATAATAATATAATTATAAACAATTTAACATACAAAATAACAAAATAATATCAAATGAAAATAAAAATAAGAATAAATAAAAATAAATACAATAAAATGAAATAACATAAACATATAAAATAAATAATAAATAATAAAATGATAATAAATAAAATAAACAAAACATAATATATTTTGAATTTTAAGAATAAATTGAAATTAAAAATAAGAAGATATAAAAATAATTTATATTTTCAATACAATAAAAATGAATAATATCTTATAATGTATAACATAATAACACAATCATATATTTAATAAAATGATTATTTCATTCAATTCAATTTTATATAGATTTGATAAATAAATATGAAAAATGTTTAATGACGATATATATCAAATAAATAAGAATAAACATTTTAATCAATATAACATAAATGATATTATTCAATAAATAAAATAGATAACGAATAATAATATAAAATAATAAATTAATGATAAAAGAAGAAGAAATAATAATTCATTCATATTTATTCTTTTATCATAATGAAATAAAATAATAGAAATATAATAATTGAATAATTATGAAGATAATTAGATTAAATATTATTATTTCATTGTTATTTATTATTATTAACATTGAAAATAAACACTTTATAATTAATATAGTTATTTATTATAATTGATCAATATTTCATACATTTTAAATTAATGATTACTTACCATTTTAATGATGTGTTAATGAATACTTTGTAAACATAATATTGAAGTTATTTTGATTCAATATTTAGTAATAAACAATTAAACATTTATCGAATAGTTGAATGAATATTTTACTTTTATTTCATGAAAAGTACTTGTTTATATCAACATTAAATCATAATATCTTCAATTTGTTGAGGAAGAATAAAAATGAATGAAAATTATAATATTAAGAAGAGTATTAAATTAAAAACATAATGTACTTATTTATCATATTAATTTGTATTTTAATTAATGTAACTCTTTTATTCTTCAATGTTCAGATTAATAAGTATTTATGAACATCAAACATCGTCAAACAAATCAAATTCATCACTGAATGTTTAAAGTTATTTATAATCATTATAATTTCGATGAGTTTAGAAAAAACTAAAAAATTAGAAGGGCATGAACGAAACAAAAGAACCAACAATGTTCAATAAGTTTGAAATTTAGAAATAAAACAAAAAACAAAGAATAACAACACAGAGTCGTTTCATACTGGAATGATGACAACAACCACTTGATTGAAAAAGTCCAAGAACGAGCAAAAGAAATTATTTCAAAAGCAACGAAAGTAGAAAGAAAAAGAAATCAAAAAATGTATAAATTGCTTGGATTGGATGGAAGTCATAGTTCTGTAATGATGCAGATTAGTATATTAGAACAAATTGTAACAAAATATCCAAAGTTCTTTGATGAGATCACATTAGTTAGTGGAACACAGCTATCAAGTATTGTAGTTTTGATGATATCAATTGGATATGATTTAACAACAATCAAAATGATAATGAGGTTGATATTAGAAATGTACCCATCACGAACAGGAATGATAGGTGGACTTACTGGTGTGATGTATGATAATTGTTATCTTCATGTTATTTTAGAAGAAGTATTTGGAAAAATGAAAGTCAAAGACATTAATTATTTAATTGCAGTAGATGCATTACAAGCCGACTCATTTGTTAAGAATCCAGAAGATGAAGAACGAACTCATCATGCAATTTTAATGACTAACTTCAAAGAAAAATATGAAAATATAACATGTGTTGATTTGTGTATGAGAAGTGAAGCAGTTCCAGGATATTTTGAAGAGTATCAAGGATATCTCAGTGGGATGTTAATTGAGAATAATCCAGTTGTATTGTGTATTCCATATTTAATTGGTCAAATGGGAATAGAATTAGATAACATTATTTGTTTGAATATTTCAGATGGAGATTTTGAACCAAGATGTTATGATATGGAAAAGTATGGATCAAGTGGATTTATAAAATGGGGAAGTGAGTTGGTCAATATATTTCAGTTAAGTAGAGTTTGTTAGTGTTTTTGATGATGAGAAAGTATAACTAACATTTAGAGAGAGTTCTCTGAAAAAACAGGAAAGTATTATTTAGGAGACAACTTCTGTAGAATTGACATTGAAGTGCCTAAAGACATTGAATTTAATGATAGAGTGAAACTAGAAGAATATGGAAGAAGTGTAGAAATAACAGAATATTTTGAATGGATTGAAAAGAAGTGGATTACTAATTGAATTTGAATACTCTTTCAACACTAAATTCTTTTGGCTAAAGAATATAATGATACAAATGATAAGAACAATACATTTTCACATTGTCTCATTAATTAAAATTAAGAATAAACTTGTTATTTTTTCATTTCATTATTATTAAAAATAACAAATAATAGATATATCCACAATTTGATTTTATGAATATTGAGAAGGTTATTTTAGTGATTTCAATATATTCTATTTCTATAATAGGGTTCATTTCTAACATATGAGAATTAGAATGTTCATCTTCTAATGTGTTGCCAATGTTAAATATGTAAAATATTAAGTATTTCATATTTTTAATAATGATTGTTCGTAGTATTTTGGGGAAGTCAATTTGTAATTTTAGTGAATTCAATCTTCCTATTGTTTCTTTATGTGTCATCCCATTGATTGTTAATATTACAGGTATTATTTCTACATAAATTATTTCTATACTTTGTCTTAGCTTCTCTTGTAATTCTTTGTATTTATTTATTTTGTAAATATAATTTAATTCATTATTTCTATCTTGACATATATCAACATCATTAATATATCATTTTTTTCTTTGATGATTTGATAATATATATCTGGTATTCTAACATTAAAAGAATAATCATAACCAATAAATCTTTATTGTAAGTATAACCATTTCATCATTGATGATAAATTAATATAAAAGTAAAATAAAAGAAAGAAGAAAATCGAAATGATAGAGAAATAAGAGGTAATGATTTATAACATGAAGTCATTGTGATAATTGTGATAAGAAGAAGAAATAGAAGAAGAAATAAATCAAAACAAAAATCAAATAACAATAAGATGAAATAAAAATAAGAAATGGATAAATAATATACACAAGAACAACAATACCAAATAACATCAATACATCAATATGTTCAAGAAATTAACAATGAAAGAAATAGAGAAACAGACACTGATAATAAACACATAATAACAATGATAATATCGTCAAAACTGAATAAGAAAATGAAAGAGACTACAAGAATGAAAAATAAAGAAATAAAGAATAAGAAGAAATGAATATAATAATATGATGAGTGCTTTAGAATAAATTGGTTAAATAAAATAGAAGATATTTAAAGAAAAGAGGTAAATAAATGAATAAATAAAGAGAGTTAAATGTAATAAAATAATAATTCTAGTAGTAATTTCAATAAAAGAGTTAGTGAATGCAAAAACATTAATTAATAAATTAAAAATTGAAATTGAAAAGACTTAGAAGTAAAAAGTGTTATAATCAAAAAACAATGGAATTATGGGCTATTGTTTTTAACACAACCAAACATAGTCCAGGACTAATTGACGATAAGGGTCTATTTTGTCTTAGTAAAGCAAGGGATAATATAAATAAAACCTATTTAAAACTTAATTAACTCATTTTTATCAAAAAGTGTTTTAAGATTTTATTAGCGAACCATGAAAGATAAAAAATGATACTATTTAATAATATTATGAATTAATAATAAAAATATGGTGAATTAACTACAGTTATAAACTAAATACAGTAAGATTGAATATAATAATTAAATAAATGCATCAAATAATTAATGTTGTAAACAATCATTTTTAATTTTAACTTTAAAGATAAGCAGTGTTGTTAGCGTGTAATAAATGAGCCGTACAAAGAATTAAAACAGAACTAATTCATTAAAATAATCAATTTCCAGTGTTTATAACATTTAGTTGTCATATATCTAATACTTGATCTTTTTCATTTTTTAAGGAAAACCCTTTCCTAAAAATGAGAATAAATAACCTCAAAACTTAAAGGAATAAATGAAAAGACAAAACACAACACAAACAGCACAATATCACCGAGGATCAATAATTCGAATTAAGATGGAAAGGTTTCTTACATATGATTCAGTGGAAGTATTTCCAGGAAAAGGATTAAATGTTATTATTGGTCCTAATGGAGCAGGGAAATCTTCAATTGTTTGTGCTATTGCACTTGGATTAGGAACAGCCCCAAAAGTCCTTGGTCGGAGTAAAGACTTAAAAGATTTTGTAAAGATAGGAGAAGAGGATGCTGTGATAGAAGTAGAGTTATTTAATGGAATAACACGAGCGAATAATTTAGTTATTAGAAGACAATTTAATTTAAGTAATCAAAGTAATTGGTTTATTAATGGAAGAACAGCAAGTCACAAAGAAGTTTTACAGAAGTGTAATGAATATTGTATTATGATAGATAATCTTTGCCAATTTCTTCCACAAGATAGAGTTTCTGCATTTAGTAGTCTTAACCCAGCAGAGTTGTTAAGAGAAACAGAAAAAGCAACAGGGACCTCTGATCTTGAAGAAAAACATGACCAAATAATTAAGGCTCAAGGTTCTATTGGTGAGTTAAGAAAAAAATCTGCACAACAAGAGAAAGGGATTCAAGAATTAAAATATAGAGTAGATGGATTAGAAAAGAGTGTACATGAGAAACATGAACAAGAACGAAGACAAACACGACTAAATCAATTAAAGATGAAAAAACCATGGGCTGAATTTGAAGAAGTAAGAAAAAAGGCTGTTGGTTTAAGAGAACAAAAACAACAATTACAACAAAAACTTGATTCATTGCATCAAGAAATGACACCAGTTGAAATAGAATTTAATAAAATTAAAAATAAAATTGAAAGTGAAGATAAGAAAGTAAATGATACGAAGACAATATGTGATAAAAATGAACGAGAAATTATTATTGCAGAAACTCAAAAAGAAAAATTAGAACAAGAACTTTCAAATAAAAAGAAAGAAGTAGAGTTAGCAAAAAAGAGAAAAGAAGAGAAGAATAGAAATATTAATGAACTTAAAAATGAACTTATTATTATTGAACAAAAACTTAAAGATATACCAAATTTAGATGAACTTGAAAAAAGAGCAAATGAAGAACAAGTTCAATTAAAAGGATTTAGAGAACAAATTAATGAAAAACAAGATAAAGGAGCTTCGTTAGACACACAATTAAGAGAAATGAATGGAAAAATATTACAATTAAATAGAGATTTGGCAAAGTTAAATGATTTAAAAGAAAATAAATTAAGAAAAGTATTTGATTATGACGCTTCAGTAATGCAAGCGTATAGATGGTTACAAGAACATAAAGGATTATTTGAAGAAGAAGTTTATGGACCAATTTGTGTAGAATTAAATGTTGCAAAAGATGAATATACAAACTTTGTTGAAATGTGTGTTCCAATATCTGTATTAAAAGGGTTTGTTGTTACAAATAAGAAAGATGAAGATACTTTAATTAGTAAACTTGTTGAAGAAAAAGGAACACAAATACAAGTTTTTAAAAGAGAACATGACAGTTATGGAACACAAGCTACACAATTGAGACTTCATTCTGAATATGGGATATTAACTACAATGGATAAGGCAGTTGTTGGACCAGAAGCAGTATTAAAAGTAGTAGAGGATATGTGTCAATTAAGTAAGAAATTCATATGTACTAAAGAAACTGAACAATATATTGAAAGATTACCGCCTGGTACATATTTTACTCCATCTAGTGTAATAAATAAAGTTAAGTCAAGATATTCAGATGCAGTTTCTGATAAAGTTAATAGTATTAGAAAAGCAAGATTTTTAAGTACTGCAATTGACACAAATCAAAAATTAAAATTAGAACAAGAAATTAAAGAAATTACTCAAGACCTTGAAGGAGTTAAAAGAAGTATTGAAGAGAATAGAAAAGAAATAAAAATATTAGAAGAGAAAAAACATGAAATCGGAAGAGGGATTGAAGAGTTTAATAGAGTAAAAGGAGAAAGAGATAAATTAATAAGATCAAAGAGAAGTAAAGAGAATAATTTAAAACTATTTGAGAATGATGAAGACCTTGATAAAAAGATAGGAGATTTACAAAAAGGGATTAAAAAAATACAAACAAAAATTAATGAACAAGTATTAAAAATGGGAGATTTATTGAAGAGATTTATTGAGGCAAAAATGGAAACAAATCCAGTAAGTTGTATTGTTAGGATATTAAGAATTAAACAACTGAGATGTAAAAATCAATTAAATGAATTTAAAAGAAGATTATCAGAATTAGAAAATGAATTTAGAAGAATTGGGCAATTATATGATGATGCAAAAAATGAAGCAGTTAAAAAAAGAAAAGATGCTGAAGCAGTATGTATAATTACTAATGAACTTAATGACATATTTCAACAATTACCAGATGAAGTTAGTGCTATTGAAGAAGAAATAGAAAATGAAGAAAGTAAATTAAAATATAGACAAAATATAGAAGAAAATGTAGAGGAATTATATCAACAAGCAAAAAATGAATTAAGTAAAAGGCTTGAAGATGCACAAATAGTAAATGAAGAAATTAAAAATGCAGAAGAAGTTATGACAGGAATTAAAGATGAATGGTTAAATAAAGTTAAAGAAGTAGTTGAACATATTAATGAATCATTTAGTATATATATGAGTCAAATTAATTGTAGAGGAAGTGTAGAATTAGATGAAAAAGAAGAATACGATAAATATGGAATCATTATTAAAACATTGTTTAGAAAAGAAGGAAGTTTACAACAATTAAATGCACACACACAATCAGGAGGAGAAAGAAGTGTTGCAACAATGTTATATTTATTAAGTTTACAAGAACAAACATTTTGTCCATTTAGATTAGTTGATGAAATAAATCAAGGAATGGATCCATTAAATGAAAGAATGATTTTTTCTCAAATAGTTAAAGCAGTTAATAAAGAAAATGCACAACAATATTTTTTAGTTACTCCTAAATTATTATCTGATTTACCATTTGGAGAAAATATGACTGTGTTATGTGTTATGAATGGTAAAATTGATCCAGCGCCATACAGTTTTGATGCTATAATAGATTCAATGAAATAAAATTATTTTTATATTTTAAAATAGTTTTTCAATAAGTGATTGTAATAAATGTTCAATAGTGTACCTTTTTTTCATTTTCTTTTTAAAACTAACAATATACTACCAAATACACGTAATCAACTAAAATTTCTTTTGTTTAGTTCAATTTTAACTTCCTTCCTTGAGAGATTACTATTTTTAGATAGGTAAACCAGGTTAATGATAACTATGAAGGGAATCTATTGATATAAATACTAACAAAGAACTCAGATTGATCATTTGTTGTAATGAGTGTTAAGCTTTCTGATTCTGAAAGACTTGCTGAAAGGTATATTGAAACAAAAAATTATATGGTTGAAGAACAAGGATTACTTATTGCTCTTTTAAATAAATATTATGAAATTCAAGTTAAATTACCAAGAAAAAAATCATCTAAAACAGCAAACCTTGTTCGGGTTGTTGCTATTGGAGATGGAAATGATATAATTGATTTTACTAAAACTGTGGAAGATATTTGCAAATGTAAAATGTATTTTGATGAACATAATGGAGTAAGTGAAAAAACTGCTTATAGGCGGTTTACAAATAATAAAATATCTGAAGCTCATCATTATTTAATGGATTTACTTCGTCTTCATGGGTATTTCTACAATAGTTATTATTCTTCTGGTAAAAACCATAGTAATAAAACTGAAACGTTTACTGATATTTTTAAAGAAGGAAAACATTTGTTTGGATTACATGACATTGTACAAAAAGGTATTGAAATTAATGAATGGATGCATTCAGAATTATCTTCTAATGATTTGTTATTTTTATCAAAAAATGATACTATTCTTCAATCGTTTATTAATTAATTTTATTGTTTTAATGCTTATTTTCTTGGTATTTTTGTAAATTACTCTAATAATAAGAAAGAAGGAGTTATTTCGATAATTCTCGATTTACGAAATATTTGAATTGAATATTTTTACACTACTGAACCTTTTTTTACAATATAAAAATGATATATAACACAGAAAAAAAAGATATTTTAAAATTTGTAAAAAAAAATAAAACTGAAAAATAGAATAAAAAAACTTAAAATTATTGTGTGATGAAATTAGTACGGAGAAATACACAAGATAAAAGACAAGAAGAATTACCAACACAAAGTAAAAAACAACAAAAAAAAGAAGAAGAAGAGAGACTGTTAAATTTATTTGATAAGTATGATACTGAAGGAAGAGGAGAATTAGATTCATACCAAATATCTCATTACCTTGAAAAGAAACATAATTTAACTTTACCTGATTTCATTGTTAAACAATTAATCAGTGAAAAAGTAATGAGTATTACTTCAACAAAAATTCAAAGAAAAGATTTTATTGGATTTAATACTATTATCGATGCTAAGATGGAAGAATTAAATCAAAACAAAATATCAGATAATAAATATCAAGAATGCTTTGCACAATTAAGAAAGAATGATCCAAAACATTATAAAGATTTTCTTCCACACTTAGTCCCTTCAAATAGAAAACCACGTACTATTGTTGAACCTCCTATTTTTGAAAATGGATTAGTTACTGATGAAATTAAAGAAAAGAAAACGCTTGACCCTAAAAGAAAAATTACTTCTCAAGAAGCAATTGCCCAACAAATATTTTATCCACCTATGAATATTGTTCCTCCTTCTAAACTTCATTTTGTTTCAATGGACCTTGATGATCAAACAAGAAAACTTATTGATTTAATTAATAAAGGTAATGATGAAATTGCTCAAGTTAATATCTCACTTAAATCTACAGTTGCTGGTGAAAATGAAGGAACAAGAAGAAAACAATGGCCTACATTATTAAAAAACTATTCAGATGTTACATTAGAAGATACATTAGAGGTAATGTTAGGAAATGATGATGAAGCAATTACTAATGCAAAATTAAAAAGAAACTTTTATACTGTTTTAATTCATAACTTTAGATTAGAATGTCCAATAAAAGAAAAATTTCATTGTGTATTTGCTATTTACACAAAAAATAAACTTATTGAAAAAGTAACTTCAGATTTTCATTTTGACCCATCAGGAAATCATACACCAATTGCAATAGAAATTAATTCTACAGTTGCAGGAGATAAAGATAATAGTTTATGGGCAATTTTATTTGTTTATAGAAACGCTGATGCTAAACAAAATACAATGAGAGATATTTATTGTGGAGAAGAATTACCAAAAGGAAAGAAGTTAGAAGCACTAAAACAAAATATTAATATTATAAATCATCGCTCTTTAATAGGAATTGGTGCAGTTAAACTTCCTATTGAAATAAAAGAGAAAAAAGGACCAATTATTAAACCACTTACTGAATTTAAATTAAAGATTTATAGAGACGATGAATTTAAAGATGTATTAAAATTAATTAATGATATTGATTCTGGAAAAGAACCTAAAGCTACTCAAATGAGTTGGGCTTTAAAAATTGATAGACTTAGAGAAGCATTCTCCAATGGGAAAGGTGGAAGTGCACAAAGAATGGATGAATTTAATATTATTGATGCAAATGGAAATGAATTGACAGATCAAATATCAGATGCACCAAAGTTGTATTTATTAGAAGATGTTAGTTATCCATTTGTTGCATCTACAGCATTGACAGAATATTCAATGAATTATTATTTATATCCAAAGGATTTAGTATTTAAAGAAAAAAGAAAGACTTGTTTGTATTTAGAATTTGTAATGAAAACAAATGAAACAGAAGAAAATGAAAATAATTGTGTTGAATGTTTCTACGGAGATAATGTAACTGGTGGATTTTGTAAAAAAAGAGAAACAGCTGTTAAAGGTAGTAATAAAAGTATTAAATTTAATGATGAAATTAAAATTAAAATGCCTAAACAGAAAGAGGTTTTTGACAGTAATTCAAATTGGCATATACTTATTAAAGTTATGGAAATGCAACTAGATGGTAGTAAAGTAGAATGTAGATCTTATGGAGTATTAAGACCAATATTACCACAAACAACAGAAGTTACTATTGATCTTATTAAACCATCAAATGAATATCTCAGTAAACCAGGAGATTCACGAGGAACTTTAAAGATTAAAGTTGTTAATTTAGTTTCATTAGTTCCTACAATGAAAGAAATACAAGTACTTGGAGAAACAGTTGGGGCAGATAATGTTATGAATATTATTGAGAAAATTGGAAAAATATCTTTCGGTTCTCAAAACTCATTTCTTAGAATGTATTTTCCAACTGTTTTAAATTGGATGATTGGAGGTGTTGTTGGACAAAATAAATTTATGAATTTTGTTATTTTCTTCCATTCAGTCTTACAACCAAATAATGAAATTAAAGAACATTCATTATTAGAATACATTAATGATTTCTTCGATCCACAAACATTCCTTAAATTTTATTCACATTACAAATATGTTTTTTTATTAATTCTTGGAGACTTTGTAGGATTAATGAATGATAATGAAGTTCAATTTAATCCAATGGTCATTGTTAAATACTCATGGTTCTTCTTTGATCTAATTATAAGGTCATTAGTTTACTATTTGAATGATGAAATTAATAAAGGAAATCTTCCAGAGTCAATATACGGTTCGGCAGTTGGATTAAGATTTGAAAAATCAGTAATAGAACTTGTTCAAACTTATTTACGCCAATTAATGAAATTAAAAAATGGATTTGAAAGAATAAAAGCAAATTTGTTTTTAGCCAATTTTATTAGAGATTTAATGAGGTTTTGGAAATTAACATATGTTGTGGGACTCATAGATATGGTTATGGATTGGTATGCTTTTGGTGGAAAGATGGATATCATTGGAACTCAAAAATTAGAAAGAGGAAATAATGAAGAAATAGCTACTCAAGTACTTAGAGTTGATTTTCTTAATGTTCTTAGAGATTCATCTATTTTGTTTAGAGCTAATAGTGTTGAATCAAAAGAAACATTTGAAGAATTATGTTTTGCACAACAAACAATATTGAGTTTAATGATTAGAAATTATATGATGTTAATTATTAGAGGAGGGATGCTTCAAAGACTAGGGGTATTTGGGTTGTCATTATTAGTAATGAGATTTGACTGTGACAGTTCTATCCAAAGTCAAGAAAATAAAGAAAAGTTAGCTACTATGATGATGCCTATAGTTATTTATATGATTGAAGAATATGACTTCTTTAAGAAATGGCATTCTATTAACTTAGAAACTCTTGAAGATAAACATTTATTATTTACATTACAATCATTCGTATTATGTTTTATGTTTGTAATGAAGAATCTTAAAACAAGTACTCTAAGAACTTATTTAGAGAAAGAAGTACCAATTCGATGTTCTATGTTAATGACTCAAATAGAATGGGCTTTAAAAGTTATTAGTATTCCTATTCCTACTTATCTTACACCTATTGAGGCTTTTAGAGAAACAAGAAGACAAGTATTAATTAACTTTTTTGATATGCCACAAAATGCCAATGAAGTTTTCTTTACAATGGAAAGGTCAACAAAAATTGGCACTTTTCCAGTTGAACAAGTCTCTCGTTCTCAGACAATGAAACTTAACCAAAAACCATTAAGTAAAAATACACTTAGTGGAGGTGCACCAAAACGACCATCATTTATTTCTTTTGGTAAAACAATTAAAGACACTTTTGTAGGTTCATCATCATCATCTTCTTCTTCTAGCAAAAGAGGAGATTCTAAAACAATAATTGGAAATAAAAAAGATGAGCCAGACTCTTCAGCAGTTGGAGAAAGTGCTGGAGGTGGAGGAGATAAAAAGTCTATTAAAACAGATATTTTTAGAAGAGCAATATCACCAAGATTATTTGGTGAAGAAGATAAAAAAGATAGTTCAATTCCTTTATTTGGTGAAAAGAAAATACTTTCTCCACGTAAAATTATTAAAGACAAAAAACCAGAAGTTGATCAAATAACAAGAAAAATGGAACTTCAAGTTGTAATGAAAGATTGTTTATTAACAATAATGGATGTAATAGAAATAGTTTATGATATATTTATTGAAAAAGAGAAAATAAATGAAAATGAAATTAATAGTAAAATAGAAGCAATATTAAAGATTCTTATCGAAAACTCATCAATGTCAACAGACATTTGTTCATATTTAAGAGATTTTATTGTTAGGTTTAGAGTAAGTTTATTTACGCGTAGTATTGAAATTTCATTAAACATTGTCAAACAATTATTAGAATATTTTTATTCTAAAGAAAATAGAAAAAGGTTAGATGCTATTACTTTAATGTATCTTTTTACTAAATGTAATTATATTACTACATATGATGCTGCATTAAGTGAGTCTCATATATCATCTGCTCTTGTTTCTAAATCATTATCATCTACTGCACAAAACCAGTTAATTCAATTTAGTACATTCCTTAGTGGATTAGATGAAATGAAACAAATTCATGAAGAAGATAGAGAATGGGCACAAAAAGAAATGGAAACTGCAATGGAAAAGTCATATAATGAAATACATAATGATAATAATGCTGCTGTTAGAGTACAACAATTATGTATTGGATTAGATGCAGCTGCAATTGAAGAATTTATTTCATATTTATGTGAATTAATAAAACCTAAATTAAATCAAATTAAAGAATTTGAACATTTAGATTGTAGTTATATTGATTGTTATAATGAAATAAGAAAAGATGTTTCAAAAATGTATTTCCAAAATCTTAGATTTAAAGAAGAAGATTCTATTGCTATTCAACGGTTAATTAAAAGTAGATATACAGGAACTAATTTATATGAACCTCTTTATACTTCTTATCAAAAATTAGATGAAATGTTTATTGAATTTATGAATAATTATAGGCGTTGTTTAAAAGAAAGTAGAAAACAACAAGAAAAAGAAGAAAAAATTGGTGTTCAAGTTCAGAAATATGAAGAAGTTAATGAAAAAATATTTGATTGGGTTAGACAAGAATTAAAAGTTAAAAATGTTTTTGGAGATGGTATTGGAGATGTAGATTTGTTAGAGAAGAAAGAGTCATTGACAGTAAAATTAAATTCTATTACTAAAGAAGGTAATGAATTATTAAATGAAGCATGTGATATAGAAAATGAATTAAGAAAAATTACAGATAAAAAAGAAGTTGATTCACTAATTTGTGTTGAAAGTAATGATTTAAAACAATTAATTCAAGATGTTGTAGCAATGGTAGAATCACAGTTACAAGGAATTATTGATGTATTAGATGTTAGACAAAATTATCAAGAAAGAAAAGCTGAAATTGATAAAATTATAGCAGAAAATGAAAAGTTAGTTTGTCAACAACATGCTGCTATTATGAACGAATTTTGTGAAGGGCCAGTTAGTGCTGAATATTTTACAAGAAGATTTGTTGAACTTCAAATCCTTAATGAACAATCAATTGAATTATGTAGAAGAAGAGGAGAAAAGAGTGGAGAAATTATAACAGCTACAGCACCATGGGAAACATATTATAATTATTGGGAAAGAATTATTCAAATGTCACAAAATCTTGTAGTTCATTTAAAGAATTGTGTATTAAAGAAAAAGACGTTTGATGAAAATTTTAATAAAGCAAGAGAATGGTATCAAAAAGAAAATTCATTTGCAAAAAATGTATTAAAAGTACAAGAGTTTTATCTTAGTAGTAAAGCTACATTAAAATTAGAATTACCTGAAAGTCATGAATTTTTTGAAACTGTTGTTGGTGTTACTGAAGGACTTATTAAAGAAGAAAATGAAATAAAAGGACTTATAGAAACTATTAATAAAGAAACAAATGAATTAGATAAAATACTTAAAACAAAAGAAGAAAGAAAAGAAAAAAGAAGAAGAAAAAGTTCAGTTGAAATGAATAAAAGAAAAACAAAAGAAGGAAATAATACAGAAAAAGTATTTGGATTTATTGAAAGAGAAACACCATATACATATGAAATACTTGGTGAAATTAATGAAATTGGTGAAGAATTCATGAAAAAATTAGAAGGATTTGATAAAGAAATGAAAGTTAAAAAAGAGAAAGAAAAAGAACGAGAACAAGAACGTAATAATTATAAGAATAGTATTGAAGAGTTTTATAGAGATTGTAATGAATCATTAAAAGCAGTTAAAGTTGATTTTAAAACATTAAAGAATGCAAGATCAAATTATAGTAAAATTCAAGAGATTATTAAGAAAAGAATAAGTTGGATTAATAAGTATGTTAATTATGAAGGAAAAGAAATGAGTTTAAATGAAATTTGGAATAAAACAAATGAAAAAGGACTTGTTAATAAAGAAAATAAAGTAGATGAAAAGAAAGAGGAATTATTAAAGAAAGAAAAAACGAAAAAAGTTGGGACAATTAAAATTACTAAGAAAAAGAAAGAGGTATTCCAATTTCTTGATTGTAATGGAAAATTTAGAAGAGAAGCACTACTTGATGTTTCACCAATGCAACAAAGAGAATTTCATAGAGAATTTGAAAATATGATAGAAGGAATTAAAGATTTATGTAACAGATTAACTCAATTACTGGAAAGTCATGAACGTAAAACAGAGCCAGAAGAAATTCATGAAAAAGTTTATTCTCTCGCTATAGAAGCTATTGGATCACCACAACTTCATTTTACATGGATGTGTGAATTATCACATAAATTAAAAATTGCTGAATTAAATATTGAAGAAGGGTTGTGTGAAGTTGCTATTGTTTATTATTTATTTAACTCATTATATGGTGATAATGTTGTTGGAAATTATGAAGAAATGTTAACCAATATTGCACCTGACTTTTTATTATATGAACCTTCAAAAATATCTAATGGAATGGTCTCAGCATTTACAAATGATAAATTAATTCATCACGCATTAATGGCTGTTGAAGCATTTGAAGAAGGAAAACTCTTTTCACATGCAGTACAAGTATGTGAATTTTTATTAGCACATTTCCAAAATATGAATGATTTAAATCAAATAGTTAGTATTCATTCAAGAATAGAAAAATTATATGAACAAATGGGAGCTGTTGGTAAAGGAATCGAATTACATTATTATTGTGTAATTATCAGTAATTCTTCTAATGGAACAAATGACAATGAATATATTTATTGTTCTACTAAAACAAGATCAGCGTTCGAACAGTATATTCATTTAGTTAATAGAAATGTTGGGATTACTGTTTGGGAAGTTTATCCAATTGTTAATAATCAGGTTATAAGACAACAACAAGCTATACTTATTCCAACAGATAAATTTATGTTAGAAAATGATCAAATTAAAACAAGTATTGAAGATTCTATTTCTATTCATGTAGAATATCAAACTGAAAGAAAATTACCATCACTATTATCTCGTTCTCACGTTATTAGTAAATTTACTAATGTGTTATCTCCTTGTGAAAAAACTGTTGGTGATATGTTTAAATTATATGAAGCATTAGAATCTGTATTTGACTCTGGTTTTAGAGAAGATATTATTCCTATTTTAAGATACATACTTGCACCAACTCCTTATAGTGGATTATTAACTACAACTCAAGTATTCTTAGATAAAACTCTTATAAATCAAGATAAAGCATTAATAAAAGAATTATTTGATATTGTTTGTAAACTATCAAATCTTTGTAAAATGGTATTGGATGAATTCGAAGATAACACATCTAAAGAAATCGCTATTGCAAGAAAAGACTATTTTAATTTTGCAATGTTCATTAAATCTATCGAAGAGACTGTATTGAATTTCATTGAAACACCAAATGAAGAAAACTAATTCATTTCCTTTCATTTATTTTGTTTTATATCACATAAATATTATTTTTATTATAAAAAATAATAAAATTTATTATTTAATTCAACTAAAAAAGAAAAGAACTTAAAAGATGAAATTAAGAATGCTCTTATGGATCTTCTTCAGTACTTGTTTTGGTTATTATCAAAGTGATACAATTACAATTAAAACAACAAGAAATTATTTGTTTTCATTTTCTATAGGAAAAGAAGGTAAATTTGATATCACAACTATGACACCTGAATTTAATGATAGAATAACACTTGCTGTATGTCCACGAGGAAGAGACTACACAGCACCACCAATAGCAAGTGATAAAGAAAAGTGTGAAGGATTAGAAAAAATTTGTGAAACGTGTTTGTCATTAATAAAGAAGAAATGATAAAAGAGAAAGGAAGAATAACAATTAGATGTATTTAATGATTCATCTTATCATTATTTAAATGCAAGTGTATACGATTTTGCTCTTTTAGCATGTAGTGCAACATTTCCATTTAAATTTCAATATACAATTCATATTAAAAATGGTAAAAGTGAATTACCAATAAGTCAAATTTATTCTCCAGAATTGTATTTAGTATTAATGGGAGTATATTCATTTATAATGATAAGTTATATAGTTTATTGTGTTTTTAATAAAAGACATGTAAAACAAATTCATCGTATAATTTTAGTTATGCAAATTATTTTTGTATTACATTGTTTGTTTGAGAGTAGTTATTATCGTGATTATGCAATGTCAGGACAACCATCTCGCTTTTTATTTTATGTTTCAGCTTTATTACATTCAATATCAGATTATCTTCCAATTGTTTTATGTGCTATTTTAACATTAGGATATAGTACTGTTTATTCTCATTTTTTCCATCAACAAACACAGCCATTTGTTGTTATTTTTTTAGTTTATTTATTCATTTCTTTTGGTTCTCATATCTTTAAAGATATTCGTTTAATGGTTTCTTTGGTTGGGATATTTTTTATTCTTCCAATGACAGGAAGGTTTGTTGCTTTAAATAGACATTTTATTACAATGCAAATTCTTTCCGAAGAAGTACTTGTTGAGTTTATTGAAATACTTAAAAAAAAGATTCAGATTCTTCAATTTTGTTATTTTCTAGTATTTGTTCGTCTCGTTATTTGTACTTTATATGACTTTACTCAAGAAGTTTCATTTTCGAATTCTCCTTATATCTCTGTTTTTGTTTTTGAAACACTTCTTTTGATGATTTCTTTATTTATGATAGTTATTCTTCTTCCTCGAGATGGAGTCTTTACTCATATTCACTTTAATCAACTCTTAGAAGTTTATCACCAACCCCCTCAAAGACATTATCAAATAATGAAAGATGTAAAAGAAAAGATAGACAGAGAAGAGATAGTGTTCTTTACTTATGCCACTTCCCTTTCTTTATCTTCTCAAGAAACTGCTCCAATAGGAATTGGTTATGTTGTAACAAATTAACTTCATTGATGTTTTGTTTTGTTACATCTTTGTTTAAATAAAAACAAAACAATTAAATAAAAATAAACTTTTTTGTTTTATATATCAATTTCTTTTAAATATTGAATTTAAAAAAGTTTTTGTTTTATTATCCAATTCTTCAGTTATAAGATGAAAATAAGAATAATAATAATAATGAGAACAACTATTAAGACACCAATAACAAGTCCTATTTTCCAATCTAACAGTTTAAGAGATTTTTTAACTTTAAAAGACTTTATAAAATAAACAAACTACTACTCTTTTCTATGACCTGGTCAATTTTTTTTCTTGTTGAAACAATTCTTGAGTCAGTATGATCAACTTTATCAGAAACCTCATTAATGATTTGGTCTTGTTGAGAAATTTCGTCGTTAATAATTAAACTAACTTCATGGACTGTATTAATGTTCTCGCTTAACTTATCTAATTGTTCGTCTTGTTTTTTTATGATTTTTTCTTGTCTCTTCTTTTCATTGTCAATAAAAAAATCATTCTCTTCCCTCATGTAATCATTTAATTCCATTTCTTGTTGAGTAGACATTCTTGGTTGTTTTGACATTTTCTTTCCTCTTCAATTGTTTTTTTCAAGTTTTTTTATTTTTCCTTTTTAATTTATGAGAAATATATCAAAAAACAAATTAAATAAATATTAAGTCTAATTAATTGTGGTAATGATAGAATGTTTGGAAGTGTGTTTTGAAACAACAATAGTGTTGAACAAAAGCAACTTCCTTTTACTTCTTTGAACACTCTTTAAAGAAAAAACTGATAAAGTCTTACTTAAACTAAGAGTTCAATATTTGTTTTTTATTGCTATTTCAGTTTAAATAATCATCGACACGTCATAACTCTTGTTTCTAAATAATTCTAATTAAATAATTTAATTTTTTAAATAATTGAAATATAATTTCTCTTTTTAAAAGTGTTCGTTCAACTTTTATTCGTTTATTCATCAAGAATAATGACGCTGTTGTATTATTTCAAAGAGATAATAATTAATAAAAAAGAAATTCAAAGAGAAAATTATTTTATCAAAAAAAACAAATAAAATAATTTTCAAAAAAAAAAAAAATGAATAACACAATTCTATTAATGAAAAAACAGAAAAAATAAAAAAGAAAAAACATAAAAATAAAAAAGATACTTTAAAATGGACGAGTTAAAACGATATTATATTGATATTATTCGAATAAGTGATCCAGAGAATGTTAATGTAACAGAAAAGCGATTAAAAAACTATAGTGAAATTAATCAATTATTACCACTTTTTATTGATAAATTTTTTAATCAATTTAATGAAGGAACAATACTAGAACATCCATTTGCAAAATCAGTATTAAAAGGGATGGTTATATTATCGAGTGAACAGTTTTTTGAAAGTTCTCAATACAAATTCATGAGTGATGAATTTATTAACTCATATTCTCATTATTATTATATTCTTGTTAATGGAATAATTATTGATAATAAGTTGTGTAAAAATATTATTGATTTGGCACTAAACGTATTTCCTAAAATTGAATTTAATATTATTCCAAAAGAGCTTATCCAAATAAATTTTAAACAAATTGAATATGCTTCTCTTTTTCTTCCAGTATTTGAAATGATTAGTAAAGTAATGAATCCTAAAGTTCTTCAAGAGTTATATATTAGTAGGTCAATGAAAGAAGCATTAAATAAAACAATTGAAACGATGTTAGATGCAAAACTTGATGAAAATACATTAAGAGTAATTGACACGTATTTAAAATTTATTAAAACAACATGTACTTTTGACTCTAGAATACTAAATATTCATATCCAATCATTATTTTTTAATAGAGTTGTCATTATCATTACTTCCCCTATTGATTTTAAATTGTTAAATACATCAACTAACGATGCTTCTTTATTTGATACTTTACAATTATCTATTGTTACTTCATTACAAGATCTTTGTTTTTATGGAAATGGTGTTTATTGTAGTATATCTACTCCTCCTTCAATTAACAATAACAATAATGTTGGATTAATTAAAAATTATGAAATACCATCAATATTAATGAAATTACTTGTTTGTCCAAGACTAACATTATACGCACTACAGTCACTTCAGTTCATCTTATTTTGTAATTCAGAAAATTATTATATTCTTCCAACTTACTTAGAATCAATTTGTTTAATGTTAGTGTCTTTTAAAAGTGTTGAAATTGAATTAGTATTTCAAATGTTAGAAAAATTATTAAATACGTACCACCGTGATTTATCTCCTTTTGTCGACGTATTTATTCAATTTATTTCATTGTCTAATTTTCTTCATACATCTGTTATGCCTCCATTTATTTCTTTTATTATTAAATTAATTGGAAGTCATCGTTCATTATATCAATCCTCATTAAGTCCTTTATTATTTCCTTTAATTCAAGTACTATTAGATACTTCTACAACAACCGAAGATACATCTAATGTTGTTGAATGTGTTACTCGAGCTATTTGTATTTTATTATCTGGGAATAAAGAAAACATTGCATTGTTTATGAAAGAAAGTTCAATGATAGAAAGGCTTGTTCAATTATTTAATAATAAACCTCAATACCGAAATGAAATTACATCTATTATCAAAGAAGTTATTGCATTGGTCCCAACAGATCAAGCAGCACTTATTTCAACATTAATGATTGATGAAATATTAAATGATATTGATCCAATTTCTCGTCTTTCTTCTGCTATTTCTTTAATGGACCAATCACCAATTGCCAGAGAAATGTTTGGTGTTTGTAATTGTTTTGAGTTATTACGTAAATTTATTGAACGTTGGGGATATTCTCAACCTTTAAATACTCCAACTCGAAGTAAGATATTAGTTCAACGAATGAATATCATAACATCATGTGTAGATTCTTATGTCTGTACTTTACAAGAATCAACGACAAATAGAATGCGTTTAGAAAATGGGTTTCCAATTAATTTTGTTGATGAGTATTTAGAATTTAATCCATGGAAAGAAACTGAACCAATTATTATCAGTGCTCATATATTAGCTCTTATTACAGAACAACCAACAAATAAAATTAAATTGATATTTACAGGAGAAACAATTAAAGTCAATATCATCAATTCTTATCTACTTCCTTCACTATTGCGTTTCTCAAAAAACCTTAAAGAGAAACAAAGGAATTATCTTTTTAAAATTCTTACAAATGCTTTTGAAAATACAATGGAATTATTCGGTGCTTATCAATCAAATGTTTTAGAAACAATTCTATCATGCTTTTCTAATGCTTTGAATGATCCTTTATTATTTCGATTAATTGAAAAAATAGGAAGATACTCTATCAAACCCAAAAGTTGTAAAAAACTTATTAAATCTTTAAAAGGAGAATGCCTTAATAGTAATTTATTATCAATGCTTAGTTCTTTAGCGAGTGGAGATGCAGTAGGTGGATTAACTTTTGACACTTCTGATAAAGTATCGTACATAAAAAATTATATATGGTTAGATAATATTCCATTGTCAATTATGGGATGGTTTAGACTCTGTGGTGGGATATACAATATAGTTGAAATTATTCCAATTGGGAATTCTAGTGGAATATCTATTTCTATGAATACTGGAGTAATGGAAATTTTTAATGAAACTACAAGATTAAATTTCCTAAATATTCCATTAGGGACATGGTTTCATTTAGCCATTTGTATATATCCAAACCAACAAATTTTATGTTTTGTTAATGGAAACTTCATTAGTGAATCAAAGTCAGTTATTAATATTCTACAAGGAAGTTATACTGTTACTATTGGTCATAGTGGTCATTCAACTCATTCATATTGTTTCAGTATAGGAGAGTTAATGATTATTAATGGAACAAGAACAACAAGTGATATAAAAACAGTGTACCAACTAGGTCCACAGTATAAAGGAAGATATTGTGCTTCATGTTATAATGAGTCAATAAGTTTGAGAGGACCATCAAGTCTTATTAATCCCTCTATTTCTATTCAAAGAGATGATATTATTTATGTTATGAGTGATCTTATCAATGATATATCAAGAACAGATTTAGTTGTTGAAGGAAGAGTTTGTCCAACATCACCTTCTCCTTTTGTCACTTGTATTTGTAGATGTGGGGGAATAGGATTATTATTATCATTAATAGAAAAATCTTCTTCAACACCAGAGTTATGTGATTCGTTGCAAGTGTTAATGTTTTGTTTAAGAGGATCATCAGAACTTTATGCCGAAGCTCTTAAAACAAATTCATTTAATATTCTAGTTCTTATTTTACATTCAAAGAAACAATTAATATCACATGGAGTTTTACAAGTATTATTAGCATTATCAGGAATTAAAACAAGTGACTCTGATTTTTGTGTAACACACCCAGAGATATTAACTACTTTAGTTCTTGATTTCGATCTTTTAAGTTCATGCCCAAATGGAATTGAATATGTATTAAAAACATTAAAACATGTTTATGAATTTTCTCCAGTTTCTGCATCAGAGTCATTAAGAGGAGTTGGGTTAATGAGAAAATTAATGGTTCTTTTCATTGATGAAAATACAGAAAGTTCAGTAATTAATTGTGTAACTCAATTATTAATATGCATCCTTTCAGTAAATTGTAGTAAAGAAGAAGTTTCTGTTGTAACATCATTTGCCTCATACTTTCTTCAAGTTTTTGATAAATCAGATTCAGATTTTCATCGTTCTTGGTGTGCTTTTAGATGTACTCAATTATTAACATTATTAGATCAAATAGTTTCTGTAAAAGGAATTCTTCCTGGATTATCATCTAATTTTATTTATCAATTTGTTAGTGTTTCTAAACCACCAGAATCGCTCGCACCACCATTACTTCATCTTGCAGCAAATCTTTCATTTTTATCTCAATCATTTTCTGATGATTTTTATTCAGATTTAGATCAATTACTACGAGTACTTTATGTGTTTACTTCTTCAAAAGAATCAATATATGCTTTATTTGCTCTTTTATTACATACTAATCCAGTTATTTCAGAACTTTTTGAAACAGTTAATATAGTTCAACGTCCATTATGTCCTAGATATATGTTGTTATTAAATGAAATTATTAGACTGTCTTTATTAATTGAATTTGATAAACAACGTATTTCAAATTCAGAATTCATTATTTTAACATTTATTGATATATTTCATCAATACCGTTCAATAAGACAAACAATTATTCAAAGCAATGAATTGGTAAGGAGTTTATTAAATATTCTTGTTCTTAGAAATAAAAAATATATTGGTGATGTTGAATTAAATAAAGAACAACAAACACTTTGTAAAGATGTAGTTAAATGTATTGGGTATTTAATTGCTGCTGCATTAAGAGATGGAGATGGATATAAAAAAATAATATACTATTCTTCTATTATACAACCAAATGGAGATTTATTAAAAGAAATAATTATTTCATCGATCCGACAATTACATGAATTAGTTGATTCAATTCCTAAAGATAAAATTACTAAAATTTTTGTTGAATATTCTCAATTCCTATTAGATATCTCAATTTCACAACAAATGAATATAAGTCTTCATTTAGTCATTAATTGTATTTACGTCTTAATGAATATTTATGTAGACTTCAAAGAAATTCATTCAAAAGAGCAAAATAATGTTTGGGTAGAAATGGTTGATAGGATGAATCTTTTAATGTTTGATAACGTTACTGAAGATTCTTTTGTGTTTGTCGCACAACAATTTCATCTTCAAGACTTCTTTTTTAGTCAACCACACTCTGAAACATATGTCACATCATTCTTAACAATTATATTAACTCAAATAACCAATAACCAACTTAAAAAAATTAATCCAATATATTCGAGTATTCTCAAAAGAATGTCAATGAGTTATATGAATTCATTAAATAAAATACTTCCAACGAGAGATCTTAAGAAAGGGTTTAAATCATTATTACAAATGAACTCTGATAAAGTTTTCTTATGGGTAGAAAATAAAATACTTGAATTACGTTCGTTATGTCTTCAATTAAATCAAAGTATTAGAACATTTAGAAATATCCAAGAAGAAAGAAAAGAAATTATTATCAAACAGTTGGCATTATCTTTTAAAGAAATTGGAAATGAAGTTGATGATATTCATAAATCTGTTATGACCCAAGATGATAGATTAAAAGAAATTGACAATAGAAGACAAAAAGCAATAGAGTTATATATTAAAGAAAGAAAGTACCTTCACGATAAACCACTCTCAATGAAACTTCAATTAATAAGTATTTGGAATACAATGAAACTTAAATTGATAATGCCAAAAGGTATTTGGGAAGAAGATGTTGAAGGGTATATGATAGATAATACTCAAAGTTCATTTGGTATAAGAAGAAGAATTGTCAAAGATTATGGATTTAAAGAAAGATATAAAATTTTAAAAGATACAAGAGGAAAAACTCTTCAACTAAATTTAATACAAAAAGAAGAGAAAAATAATAGAAAGAGTAGTGATGATATTGTTATTATTTCTGAATTAGAATATGATGAATTTGAAGAATTGTTTAATTGTTTACAACTTTATGGATTAGAAGAAGTTCCTTGTTTTATAAATATTAATTCAAATGGAATAAAAATTATTAAAAGACTACATAAAGATAATATTAAATTCGATAACAGTTCTCATTGGATTAAAATTGATTGGAATGATATTGTTTGTATTTTAAAAAGAAGATATTTACTTCAAAATAATGCTATTGAAATATTAACGTGTTATGGAAAGTCATTATTTTTAATCTTTGAACATAAATACGATAAAGTTGTTAAAAAACTGATGAAATATAAAAGTGAATCATTTGATATTATTCGTGAAATTGAATCACCAATTAATATAATTAATAAAATTGGAAAAGTGTTTAACCAAATAGATGAGATGACTGAGTTATGGAAAAAAGGAGATTTATCAAATTTTAATTATTTAATGTATCTTAATATTAAAGCAGGAAGAAGTTTTAATGACCTTTCTCAATATCCTATTTTTCCTTGGATATTAACTGATTATACTAGTAAAACTATTGACTTAAATGATGAGCGTATTTATCGTAATTTTGCTTATCCAATAGTTGCCCAAACTGAAAACAAAAGAGAAAAACTACAAATTAAATTTCAAGAAAATGGGAGTCATTTTGGTAATCATTACAGTTCACTTGCAACAACTTTAATATTTCTATTTAGAGTTGAACCATATATGAAAATGCATATTCAGTTATTTGATGGGCATTTTGACACAGACCGACTAATAATATCAATAAGTAAATTCTTTGATAGTTTGTCTGCTACACCAATAGAACTTATTCCTGAATTCTTCTTCTTACCTCAATTTCTCATCAACTTTAACACAATAGATTTCGGTAAACGAAGAGATAATAATATTGTTAATAACGTTGAATTACCTCCTTGGTGTAATGGCAATCCTCGTCAGTTTGTTAATACAAATATGAAAGCATTAGAATCACCATATGTTAGTCAACATCTTAATGAATGGATTGATCTTATCTTTGGTTATAAACAACGAGGAAAGAATGCAGAAGAGGCATGTAATGTATATCCACAATGTTCATATGAAATTGGAGATTTATCTAAAATGAATGAGAAAGAAAAGCAAACAACACTCGATAAAATAAGAAATTTTGGACAAACTCCAATTCAATTGTTTAAAACACCTCATCCAAAGAGAGAAGTTAGTTGTACAAAGTATAGTACTGGAGTATTTGAACAAGACAAAAACTATTCATTAACAATTGTTAATAAATGTGAATTTCCAATTGGAGACATGAGGTTTGATGAGAAGAATGAAATTAAAATAACACGAAAAGGTGAAATAATTATTCCAAATGGAAATATTCAAGTTGGAAGTGGTGGAATTTTGAGAATAGAACGAAATGGAAAGATAATGAATATTGAAGAATGTCAGAATGGTGCAATTCTTATTGCTGATGAACGGAATGTACTAGTTGGGGGTAGTGATGGTAGTATTCAAATAATCGATATTAGTACAGATATACCAAAGAAACGAGGAAGGTTGTGTGGGCATGATACAGCAATTACATGTTGTATAATTGATAATAACAATAATATTATTATTACTGGAGACCAAGATGGAGTTTGTTTGATTTGGGATATTGGAATGTTAATGTGTTTACATGTAATTGAAGTGGGAGAATGTGTGATAGGATTAGATATTAACAATGAAACAGGAAATTTTATTGTATTAACGCAACACCAACTTTATTATTATGATATAAACGGTGATTTAATAAGCCAAAGTCAATGGTTTGACTATGACCAACTCACTTCTGTTGCTATTACACAAACACCATTGTGGAATGACAAAACGTTCATTGTCATTGGTGATATAAAAGGTAATATCATATTTTTGAAATTAAATGATAGTCTTGAGTTTGTTCATTATCTGACTATTCCTAGTTATCCAACACCAATTGAATCTCTGAAAATTTCAGATGATAATACCTCTATTTTAATTGGACATGTAAATGGCATTGTAATTTGTTTGAATTAAATTGTTATTGTTCTTTTCTTGTTAAATTAACTAAAACGCATGAAAAAAATCCAATTAATTTATTCAGGCAACTGCCTTGTCATCATTAGACTCTTTTTCCATCTGGAATACTACTATTCTTTGTGGAACAAACTTCTGGTCCATACGACCTGTCAAAGCATAGTGAATTTCTTGTCCATTGATTCTATAGTCAAATGATGCTTGTTTGCATTGGCACTGTTTTTGAGAATCATTTTTATAAATAACAATGTCAGGACCATAACCCACTTTAAATAACATATTGTTTCCTTGTGGCTTGAGAAGAAAGGCGTTTCTTCCTTCTTCTTTTTTAATATCAAATTTGACCATTCCATCAAACCTGTGGTTAGATGTTAATGAAAACACAAACGCGTTTTGATCTTCAACTATTTCATCAAAGTTTTTGATAAATGAATGCAAAAATATTCCAAATTTATTGTGTTGATCGTCTTCAATAATAATGACAATATTGGAACGTTCAATAATTTTTCCTACAAACTCAGATGACTTAGTATCCCATTTGTCTGAAACAGAGTCAAAAAGTAGTTTTCCTTTCTTTAATCCAGTCCATTTCTCTAATTGACTGTCTTCTTTTGAAACAAACGCTTTAATAGGTTTGTCTTGACAAGAGGCATGTTGTCCCCTTTCTTCTCTAAGTCTTAATTCAAAGTATTGAAGTAATTGGCTATCATTAAATTCCTTTATTTTCTCATCACCTTTTAGTTTATTACGAACACTCTGAAGATTAAGTTTAATGTTCGTATCATTGGTATCCACTCTCCTTGTAAGGTCTTCTATTTTCTCATCAGAGTATTTATAGATCTCAAATAATTCATTTATTTTATTGTCAACATTATTTTCTTCAACTAAATCACTAAATTCTTCAGTAAATTTATCTATCTCTTGTTTTGTTAAATTGCTTATATTAACTTTTTTAGTAACCCCTTCTGTTTTTATTGACTCTATTGATTCTTGTATTTCTTTTAATTTAATTTCTACCTGTTCTTTAAATTCATTAAATTCACTTCTAGTTACGGTGTCTGGTCTTTCACTGTTTTGGAATTCGGATTCAAAGTCACCTGTTCCTTGGTTTGTTGGCTCTATAGTTTTATCATGAAGCTCTTGCATAATTAAATGAACTTATAAATACTTTTTATACAAGAAACTCTTGAAATAATACTATTTTTAGTTCCACTAAATGTAAAATAAGCCGAGTTTACCTTTTTTCAATAGAAAAGAAATACTCTTATGAAATAAACGTAGCAAAGAAAAAAATGGAAAAGAAAAGTGTTTTTAAAAGTTCAACAAATACAATATTATAAACTTTTTTCTATTTTTATTCAAAAAAGGATAATTTTTTTCTTTTTTATTAGTGTTACCTTATTTTAAAGTTATTTGAGGGTTTAACATCCAATAAATAAACACTCGAATAGTATTCTTTTCCATAGAAGAGGAATTTTCTTTTTCAAATGAGTAGAAGTTGTTTTAATATAAATATATAAACAAATAAACAACACAACCAAAAGAAGTTCCATTTTTTAACGGTCAACCATAATACTTTATCTATACTATAGGTAAGACACCGCTCTAATCAACAAGTGATAAACTTAAAAGAACTCTTATTCTATAAGACTCGTTAGAAACAGTTTCAATTAAATAAAAATAAAGCCAATAAAGTGTTCATATTACAGCCCTCATAACGCTAGTGTCTCAAGTACTTATCAAATCTATAAGTTAGTATTAACAAACATTAAAACAAATTACAAACTTAAAATAAAATCAATTCGATTGCGTTAATAATAATTTTTTTTAATTAGTTAATCTAAAAAGAGTATTAAGGAAAATATTATTAAAATAAATTACATTATCATCACTTTTTTTTGTAAGAGTCTTAATAAATTAGAACAACTCTCATCAAAATGATAAATAAAATACATTATTTTAACTTTTAAGAAAGGAAATAATTATAGCTATAGTTAGTTATTAAAATTATGACCTAATCGGTACAGTAAATCAGCTAAGAAAAGGTTGTGTGAATACATTTCATGTAACTAAAACAAGCATACACAAAGTATTAGAACAGTAAAATTAGGTTTTTAATAACATAAATTCCTAAAGAATAAGACATAAAGAAGTAGTAGGAATATCATTTCATAATCGTATTTTATAACTTTAAGTTTCTTAAATGAAAATAAATAGAGTTTATAGATTTTATTATTTGGTATAAATTTAAGTGTTACCTAAGAAATATTTAATCTAAAACATAGCTTAATAAATGAAATTTATTTCTTTTAGTTATTGTATTTGATTAATATTTATGTACTTATCATTTAGTAATATTAATCAAACTTAAAAACTTATAGTCAAGGATAAATTTTAATTGTTATGAGTTAGTACTTTATTTTAAAAAGAAGGTTGTTTTAATAAATAATGTAAATAATTAACAACACTCATAAATAGTTATGGAAATAAAAGATAAAAAAAATTTTAAAATAAGTTTGAACTCAGTTATTAATTTTCTGTTTTGTTGTATCATTTAATTCTATTATAATAATTAAAATTGTAAACATCCAGATATTTATTATAACAAAATGAAATGAATAACGAGGCAAACAAGTATTTATTAATAATGTATTTACTCATATAGTAATGGTTATATAGTAATTAATATTAGAACTAATTTTATGATTCAAATATTTATGGTATTGTAAGCCAATGAGACAACAAGACTTGTTTATTTTTATACTAATTTTAATACTACATAAAATTTCCTGTCTTATGATGATTTTTGTTTGTTTATTTTTTTGTAACAATTCTTAAAACCCATTTCTTTTTATATAAAATTAAAAAATCAGATAGGAGTATTGATGGAGTATAACAAACTGTGAAAAGAATCAAAGAAGTAAGGAAGACAAGAAGAATGACATAAGTAAGACAAGTATTATAATTTTTATGAAAAAAATAAGAGAAATAAAAAGCAACCCTAAAATTTTTCCAAAATATGATTATTGAATTATAAAAATAGTATTATTATTATAATTAATAATATTCAAAAAAAATAAAAAGATGAACAAAAAAAATAAAAAGTGAAAGGATGAATTCAAAGAAGTCTCAATGGGTTCAAGCTGGAGGTCATGGAGGACCACAACAACTTCACCCAGACGGAAAATATCTTTTAAAGCCATGTCTGTCTCATAGAGAACGAGATTTTTATTTACATATTAAAGATGATAAAGAATGGACCGAAACAGGAATTGTACCAAAGTTTTATGGAGTTGAATTACATGAATTTGGATTTGGAGAACTTGAGTTTATTAGAATGGAAAATTTAATGTATCAATATAAAAGACCATTTGTACTTGATTTAAAAATTGGAACACAAACATGGGACCCAGAAACAGCATCAAGTAAAATGAAAAAAAGATTAATGGTAGATTCAACATCTTCAACAACATCACTTGGTGTTAGATTTAGTGGAATGGAAAGAAATATAGGAGAAGAAAAACCGATATTATATTCAAGATATTTATGTACACATGAAGTAAATACAAGAGACTCATTAAAAGAATATATTAAATTATTTTTTAATGATGGAAAGAAATATAGAAAAGAACTTGTTCCATATTTTATTTTACAACTTAATAAAATGATTGAAGTAATGAAAAAAAGAGAATATAAAATGTTTAGTAGTTCTGTATTATTTGTTTATGATAGTGCAGCATCATTAGAAGAAAAAAAATATAATTGTAAAATGATTGACTTTGCTCATAATTGGATTCTAAGTGAAGAAGAATGTACTGTTGAAGATGGTTTTCTCTTTGGTTTAAATACTCTAAAATCAATTTTAGAAGATATTGAAATTGAATTTAAGTCTATTTAAATTCAATTAAAAGTTAATTTAAATTCTTTTTTAAGAATTTAAAAATAAATTATAATTTAATTAAATAATAATTCAATAATATTCAATTATTATATTGTAAAAATGTATTATATTGTAATCCTGTTGAAAGTAATTTAAATACATCATTAATTGATGTATTTCTTAAACAGACTCTTTTTTGTTGTTCTTCATTTAATAATCTAAATTGCTTTAACATATCTCCATCTAAAAATACATGTTTTCTTGTTCCAAATCCCATTCCATATCCTTTTTCAAATCTATATTCTTCTGCATTTGTTCCTGCAAAATGCCATGGTTCTCTATTCATTTTTATATTAATTTGTCTTAACACTTGATATATTTTTTCTTCAACAACTGAAATATAACCAACACTTCCTTCAACAGTTACATACATATAAATATATCCTTTTCCATTCCATAATCTTGTAAACTTTAATAAATTCATTCCAAGATTAAATGTAGCATCAATTTCAAATATTGATAATTGTTCTGTTGCAGCTGAACTATAATTTAATAAACTTAAATTTTGTTCAGAATCAAATTCAAGTACTGAGAAATAATCTTTTGTTATTATAAAAGTTGAATCAATGCAATGAATATTTCTTGCATCTTTACCTAAAGGTATAACAGTATAATCATATGGTTTAAATAGTAATAATACTACTGATCTATAAAAATCACTTAATAATATTAAATAACATTCTTTTTCATTTCCTTTTTCCATTACTTTTAATGGAAGATATTCAATTGAATTAATTAATATAGAAATATCACTAAAACATTTCTTTATCCATCTTGTTTCATCTACTCGTTCAATTAATTCTAATTCATTTCCTGATGCTACTGCAAGAAATCCACCAATTTCATTAACTGCATGAACTGATTTTTTGCCATCTCCAATTTTATTAATTAATTGAATTTGATTTTCTATATTAAAAATATATGTTTTTCCTTTAACAGGATTATCTTCTGTTGTTTGTTTATTAACTCCAACAACTAAATAATTTTTAAGTTGTTTTCCAACTTTAAATTTTAATAATTTTGCTGTACAAATAAATTGACCTTTTTTAAATTCATAATAATCATTTGTTGTTAAATTTATTATTCTGTAACGTTCTAATAATACATCTGAATTTAATGGTTGTGCTTCTAATACTGGTGGTTCTTCTTGTTGATTATTACTTGAATGAGGTAATTGAGGTGGGCAATCAGGTGTATCTAATACAGTAGTAAATGATACTGTAACAAACAATTTATTTTTATATGATACTAAATGATGTGGTGTTCCTTGAATATCAATTCTAGTAAATGGAAGTGGATATTTATCAATAATTTGTTTATTTAATTTAACAATTA